CGACCCTTATATTGAGAAACCCTGCAGTCAAACAAACAACACACTTGACTGCTGACCTTAAGGTGTGACTGATGAGCCGAGGCGTGAGGAGAAACTGAAATCTGTTCCCTGGTATTGATCATCTGCTCTCTCTCTCTGTGTGTGTGTGTGTGTGTGTGTGTGTGTGTGTGTGTGTGTGTGTGTGTGTGTGTGTGTGTGTGTGTGTGTGTGTGTGTGTGTGTGTGTGTCCAGGTCTTTCAGGGCCCAGAGACCAACAAAGAGGTCTGCACCCACCATCCTGGAGTCCCTGTCTTCCACGAGGGGACAGGAAACACATCACATGTTTCCATATCTTGATTCCAGATATAAAAAACTGCATTTTACACAATCCACTTTAACGAAATATTAATTACAATCTTAATGTGAATTTCACACATAATTAGAATGCTTTTGCAAAGAGGGAAACAAAACTGAGGGCCATGTAAGCAACACAAAGAAACCTAAAAGGGTAAGATCAGAAAATTACAGAACATTAGAAGTTAAAGGGGCTCTATTCTGATTATTTCCAGGTGTATATCAGTACGTAGTGTCTCTACTTTAAAGAGTCCTCTCCTGCTGATGTTCAGGTGTATATCAGTATGTAGTGTCTCTACTTAAAAGAGTCCTCTCCTGCTGATGTTCAGGTGTATATCAGTATGTAGTATCTCTACTTTAAAGAGTCCTCTCCTGCTGATGTTCAGGTGTATATCAGTATGTAGTGTCTCTACTTTAAAGAGTCCTCTCCTGCTGATGTTCAGGTGTATATCAGTATGTAGTGTCTCTACTTTAAAGAGTCCTCTCCTGCTGATGTTCAGGTGTATATCAGTATGTAGTGTCTCTACTTTAAAGAGTCCTCTCCTGCTGATGTTCAGGTGTATATCAGTATGTAGTATCTCTACTTTAAAGAGTCCTCTCCTGCTGATGTTCAGGTGTATATCAGTATCTAGTGTCTCTACTTTAAAGAGTTCTCTCCTGCTGATCTTCAGGTGTATATCAGTACGTAGTGTCTCTACTTTAAAGAGTCCTCTCCTGCTGATGATCAGGTGTATATCAGTATGTAGTGTCTCTACTTTAAAGAGTCCTCTCCTGCTGATGTTCAGGTGTATATCAGTATGTAGTATCTCTACTTTAAAGAGTCCTCTCCTGCTGATGTTCAGGTGTATATCAGTATGTAGTGTCTCTACTTTAAAGAGTCCTCTCCTGCTGATGTTCAGGTGTATATTAGTATGTAGTGTCTCTACTTTAAAGAGTCCTCTCCTGCTGATGTTCAGGTGTATATTAGTATGTAGTGTCTCTACTTTAAAGAGTCCTCTCCTGCTGATGTTCAGGTGTATATCAGTATGTAGTATCTCTACTTTAAAGAGTCCTCTCCTGCTGATATTCAGGTGTATATCAGTATGTAGTGTCTCTACTTTAAAGAGTCCTCTCCTGCTGATATTCAGGTGTATATCAGTATGTAGTGTCTCTACTTTAAAGAGTCCTCTCCTGCTGATGTTCAGGTGTATATCAGTATGTAGTGTCTCTACTTTAAAGAGTCCTCTCCTGCTGATGTTCAGGTGTATATCAGTATGTAGTGTCTCTACTTTAAAGAGTCCTCTCCTGCTGATGTTCAGGTGTATATCAGTATGTAGTATCTCTACTTTAAAGAGTCCTCTCCTGCTGATGTGCAGGTGTATATCAGTATGTAGTGTCTCTACTTTAAAGAGTCCTCTCCTGCTGATGTTCAGGTGTATATCAGTATGTAGTATCTCTACTTTAAAGAGTCCTCTCCTGCTGATGTTCAGGTGTATATCAGTACGTAGTGTCTCTACTTTAAAGAGTCCTCTCCTGCTGATGTTCAGGTGTATATTAGTATGTAGTGTCTCTACTTTAAAGAGTCCTCTCCTGCTGATGTTCAGGTGTATATTAGTATGTAGTGTCTCTACTTTAAAGAGTCCTCTCCTGCTGATGTTCAGGTGTATATCAGTATGTAGTATATCTACTTTAAAGAGTCCTCTCCTGCTGATGTTCAGGTGTATATCAGTATGTAGTGTCTCTACTTTAAAGAGTCCTCTCCTGCTGATGTTCAGGTGTATATCAGTACGTGGTGTCTCTACTTTAAAGAGTCCTCTCCTGCTGATATTCAGGTGTATATTAGTATGTAGTGTCTCTACTTTAAAGAGTCCTCTCCTGCTGATGTTCAGGTGTATATCAGTATGTAGTGTCTCTACTTTAAAGAGTCCTCTCCTGCTGATGTTCAGGTGTATATCAGTATGTAGTATCTCTACTTTAAAGAGTCCTCTCCTGCTGATTTTCAGGTGTATATCAGTATGTAGTGTCTCTACTTTAAAGAGTCCTCTCCTGCTGATGTTCAGGTGTATATCAGTATGTAGTGTCTCTACTTTAAAGAGTCCTCTCCTGCTGATGTTCAGGTGTATATCAGTATGTAGTGTCTCTACTTTAAAGAGTCCTCTCCTGCTGATGTTCAGGTGTATATCAGTATGTAGTGTCTCTACTTTAAAGAGTCCTCTCCTGCTGGTGTTCAGGTGTATATCAGTATGTAGTGTCTCTACTTTAAAGAGTCCTCTGATTGGTTAGCTGGCCGGCTCTGTTGTCATTGGTCAACCGCTCAGCGATGTCCCGCCCCTTAGCCTATCACGTACAATGTGTTGGAGCGCTAGCTAATAGAAGCGCGAGTGTTACAAAGTGATGATATTATGTTGAGGAAGTAAACAAAGGACTAGCAACTTGGAGATTTTAGCCTCTGCAGACCATTTACATGCACTAAAAACGATATACTGTAACACACTACAGGGAAGTGAAAACCCCCCAAAAAGCATAATAGGGCCTCTTTAAAAACTAATCTGGGACATCAGTAGGAGACTTTAGAAGTAAAACAAGCTCCAACTGATTTTTGAATTACATAGTATTTCATCATTGCTTTTCAAAGAGCCATTTACAATGCACTTATCTCTCCATTTAGGTCAAACTGCTTCTTGTTGATTTGAATCATCACATAACTGTCAGTCAGCGTTCCTTTTGAATCCTGTAGCTGTTACACACTGTGACAATGTGTTTATGTTGTTGTTGTTGTTGTTTAGGTATAAGTATTGGAACTGCTGCTGCATAAGGACAATAGATTTCAATGCTTTCCTGGACCAGAAGGGCTGCTCCACAGGGGTCCATTGCTGGGTCCCCAAGCAGGTACACCCCCGGGGGAAACACATGACGGGCTGAACAAAGGGACATGGTTCACAGTAATAAGGACATTTAGCTGAAAAGGACAAAGCCAACAAAACAGCTTTAAAATCACCCTTTTTCCCGTGAAGATTGGTGAGCACAGCTTGGCTTTTTCCTTCTGGAGGTTTCTATTTGGTCAGCCAAAATCAAGCTTGAACAGGAAACAACACTTTCATTATTTATGATTCAAAGCTAAAACAAAGCAGTTTAAAGAAACAACGTTATAGCTTTCTGAAGGCTTTAAATATTTACTTTTGGTTTAAGTGTTTCTGAGGGCTGATTGATTCAACTTTATGGTATTTTAGAAGTTATCATTTGAGGTGAGGTTGAATTATAATGATGACATGTTGATATTAGTGGGCTCAAGCACATTTAAAGAAGTGAAAAGTGACTTAATATTGTTTAAAAACGGCTATAAGTCTCACGTTTGAACCACAATGTCCCAGAATGCCAGATTGCAATAGTGCTCATTGAAAATTGAACACAGTGTATTTTTGTAATGATGATTTTTAAAACATTTGTGTGGCAATGACTTGATTTCTCCTTGAGGAGTTCCTACTGATGCTCCAGTTCTTCTCAAAGCAACAATAATCTATTTTAAATCATATTGTGTGTGTTTGCAGGACAAGAAGAAGGTGGCGTGTCGGTACGACTGGCACCAGACCGGAGACAATGTCATCGTTACGATTTACGCAAAAAACGCAAACCCAAAGTTCAGCAGCATAGAAGCAAACCAGACTGTGGTGAGTTTTCACACATTGACTCAAATACTAAAGTACACGTTTGTAGTACTCTTGGCTATTTCTGTTGTACCATCTTAGAAGGAAAGATTATATGAGCTGACTTAATCTTTAACCATTAAGTAATAAACCATACATTCATCTTTAAATGCCGAAAATGCACTTTGTTGTTTTTGCTTATTCCATTTTTCCCGCTCTTTTTTCCCCCCGCTCTTTTTTCCCGCTCTTTTTTCCCCTCTGTAGCTCTCATGTCAAATCCAGTTTGAGAACAATAAGATCTTCAAGAAAGACTTTCGCTTCTGGGGCGTGAGTATCTGATGACTGTCTGCAAACATCTTCCTGAGCTAATACACATATATGTTTTCAAGATGATTTACTTATTGGTGAAATACTATGACTTTGTATATTTCTTTACCAAGACTTTTTACAATGACACGCTTTTATACTATGTCGTTTTTCTCAAAAAGGTCATTTTTCCCGATATTTCCGACAGTTTATACGATGTCGTATTTTATTTATTTTCGACATATGTCATTTATTTCGGAAAACTGCGACACAATATACCACGTTGTTTTTTCTCAAAAAAAGGACGTTTTCGATATGTTTGACACTGTGGTTTTCTGACCTTTTCGACATACTATATTGTGTTTTTCTGAATGTATGACTTATTTTACTCTGACCTTTATACAATGAGAGTAGTTATCTTATTCCACAGACAAACATTTTCAAGATTGAATACCTAGCAAAGTTTACTCAGTATCGTCCATTAAACTCTCGCCCCTCTTTTCTTCCTCCTAGGTGGTGAATGTTAAGAAGAGTTCAGTCAACATGGTCCCCTCCAAAGTGGAGGTGACCCTCCGTAAGGCCGACAAAGTGCCCTGGGGAAAACTAGAAGACCCAAACTACAAACCAGACCCAGAGCCCATTGACGACTCCTTCACCGAAACCACGGAGAACCAGGAGCACTACTACGATATCGAAGACGACGACATCAGCGACTCGGACGAAGAGTGGGCTTACGACACGAAACAGAACCAAAGACAGGAGGACAAGGAGGAGAAGGACAAGGAGGAGATGAAGAAGAACGAGGATGAAGAGATCCAAAACTTAAAGAGGAAGGAGGTGGAGGAGGAGATGAAGAAGGTGAGCGAGGAGAGGAAGAGGGTGGAGGAGGAGAAGAAGAAGCTGGAGGAGCAGAGGAGGCAGGAGGAGGGGGAAGGATACGAAGACATGCCAGAACTGGAGTAACTCTGCCGAAAACAAAGCATTGATGAACATGAGATGTGTTGATAATTGAAACACTTCTATTTAAACACATTTTTGTTATAAAGCTAATTAATTGTTCATTTCTGATATCATGAGACTAACATGTCCAACACCTGCTGTCTCACTCTGGAGGGCAGATTTAAAGGCTGATTGTCTTCCACAAACAATTGAGTTACGTCTTTGGTTGACAAACACACTGGATCCTTTATGTTTTATATACGACATATACAAATAACAACTTGAAGGTTCTAACCTGGAAACAACTTATAAAGTAAAGACTGTATCTTTCTCTTTACAAACGGTGTCATTGTTTTTCTTTTGTAGAACTTTAGGTTGATTTTTGTTCTGTCGTTTTCTTTGGGATATTTTCGACCTGCTTTTTTTTCTTTTTTCGACTGTAGTTATTTTCAATTTTCGACATACTATACTTTGTCGTTTTTTGGCATATTTTCGACAGTATACTAAATAGTTTTTTGGCATATTTCCGACAGTATACTAAATCGTTTTTTTGCATATTTTCGACACACTATGCTACGTCATTTTTGGCATATTTTCGACAGTATACTAAATTGTTTTCTTGCATATTTTCGACAATATATTAAATCGTTTTTTTGCATATTTTCGACAGTATACTAAATCTTTTTTTTTGCATATTTTCGACATACCTACGTTATTTTTGGGGGGAAAATGTCCACATACTATCCTGTTTTTTTGTTGTTGCCTGAAACCATTACACATTGAAAAGTCATGGTATAGTGTGTTGGAAAAAATGTAATAACATGTAAAGAAAAACTAATTTTACAGTATGACGATAATAACATAATATAGTAATTTATAAAAAAACATGTCTTTTTGTACGTGTTTGTCTAAAGCAAACGAAACACCAGAGGAATGGAACAATAAGACTTGTTATCCAGCGCACGTCCTCTGTGTTTTAAGGAGAAAAATCAAGATTAATGATTCAATTAAAAGCCTAATGAGTCATTTGAGCATCCACTGCTGTAATTGGTTGTCTCTGTAAACAAAACAGTTAGCCTTGAGCTTATGAGTCATGCTTAAATGTTATTTCCACACATGGCTTTTATTAATATAAGCCTATTGTTTATATGCAAACACAACCTACTCATCAGCTTTACTGCAGGCAAGAAATACTAAAAGAAGATACAGTATGTGGTGAGCAATGTTAGTTCTACCAAAGATGGAGAATATAGCCTTAACACCTCACTACCCATCGAATAAAGTGCTTTAATAATAATTTAAAGACTGATCTATACTTCATGGTTAACAGAAGTCTTGCGGTGTACGTTTTAAATTCATAAAAGGGAGTGAAAGAAGATGCAGTAAGAAACCTTTGAGTACCGAAAAGCTATAAAACATTTTACTTTTAGGCTCTTAGGGATAAGACGCACATTGACACTTTTAAAGCATACTAACACCTGCGAGACAAATAACTAAAACTAAAGCACAGCAGGTTCATGTGGAAGAGGGAACAACATACATTAAATTCAAGCACTTCTTAACACCTGAAATATGCAGCATATCATTGACGTAGTTAAACTGTCTTGTGACCATACCTTTTAAGAGTTAAAGGTCTCCTATCATGCTATTTTTAGGCAATAGCATAGGTCTCAGATATATAAAAAACATGTCTATGAAGTGTTTTGGTCAAAAGAAAAAAAAAACAGATCACCCATTCTAGCCATGCCTCATATCCCTCTATTTCACTTCCTGTTTCAAAAGTGCTGATTCTGGGTATAAACATTTCTCTCTTGAGAATGACCCTTTTTTTTTTTTTTTTTAAACTGAAAAACATAATAAATAAGAGGGGGCGGAGCTTATGCCGGCTCATGCGGAACCTGGCAGATACAGTCTAAAATGCTGCGGTGATGAAACACAAGTATTATTAGATCAAGGATTATTTCTGTAAACAGTTTGGAGCTCAAAGGCTTTCTCTCTTGCCGGTTATACCACAAGGTGAGTTCCTTTTTACTTCCTACTTCTTCACACACATGCTCTCTAGTACAGGTTAGCTCTGAGTGTTAGCGATGCTAATGTAAACACCGACCATATTAAGTCCAAAACAGTCGGGCATTGTTTCTGATAGCAACGTTTCTGATTGGGCCGTGGGTCCACATTTCAGATATTACGTCATATCGGACTCAAATCTGGATCAGCTCCGTTGTTCCCCGTTTTTAGAGATTTGGGTACGGAGGAAAAGAGAGAGGGTTTTATTTTCTGACGCTGCGTGAGTTCCCATCATCAAAAAGTGCATTTTGCACGATAGGTCCCCTTTAAAACATCATCATGGACACATTAACGCCAAAGGACACCAGGTTCACACTTCAATAAGTAATTTAATCTCCAAAGGGTTGCGCTGACTTTGTCTTTGTTACACACTGCACACGATAACACAATAAAACACCTCGCAACGTACAAGGTTCGTGCAACATCTAGTCCAGCGTTGCGCACAGTCTCAATAGATCAATATTTAGGCTGTTCAGATCAGGGGTGCGTTCACAAATGTCGTCTATATGGAATACTGTTGCACAGACATGGTGACGTGTTTGCAATCTGTGTTTTTCTTTCTTTCAGTTTTTCAGCTGTTTAACTCCCTGGAAGAGTTTCAATCAAAAATGACATTTTGCTGTATGAAAAAAATGAACAATAATTAAAAACAATGATGCTTTTAAAAGAAAAACTATGAAATCCTTGGTTAAAAGACCATGAAACGTAGGCAACACATTATTTTATCCCAAAAATGGTTAACACAAGTATGTGTTCCCAGAAGTGGACGCACTTCGTTTTCAGCACGAAAAATGCTCATGAAAGCATAAGTTAGACTTCCTACAATTTGAAAATTATACACAAAAAGTTTACCCAAATGTTGGCTAAACAACTCAAAGCTGAGTATGACATTACTTTTTGTGTAAACAATTCATTAATAGTCTGTAACTTCACAGGATAATTCAAAAAACTTTGGCTTGAAGTTAAAATAACCTTAATATTGGTGACATTTTTACAATTCTATTTCAATACCAATTGGTGTGACATTGGAAAGACATTTCAATGGCATTGGAATGACACATGTAATAACATTGGGAGATTCAAGCTGCTGTGGGAGTCATTTTACAACCACTATATATTTATCATTCTTTTTACGTTTGGTTAGATATATTACATTGTATCAACACACTTTTGTCCGTATACATTTATCATAAATTAAAGATTTTCTCATGAAATCAATTTAAAAAAAACACTTGTAAACACTCAAAAAATCTTAAACACACACACTAATGTATTTTTTCCCCATTAAGTTTGCTTCTTCGTAAAGTGCAAGGCAAGATACAGTAAACTTTGAAATGTACGACATACAACAACGTTCGCACTCTCACACACACCTTATGTCTCATAACCCACTGAACTCGGTACAAACTTGGCACAACACCACTAAAGCCTCTAAGGTGTAGAGCGTAAAGCCGGCACACTATGGAGCACAGTCCTACCAGAGCTGCATATCTACAACGCCTCACAGTAACCCTACTCAAGAGTTAGCATGGGTTAGTTTGATTAAAAAACATGTAAATAACTGAGAAATCAAGCACTAACCCTTTCTGTGAATGGGAAAATAATCCTTCACCAGTTTACAGCCTTGTTTTTAATACATTTTAGGTAATTTACATTTTTGCTGTATTAAATAAAAGAATGATTCAAAATTATTCTCTGTCCAATCAGTATGGAGCTCCTTCCATGTAGCATTTAGCGCCTTCCATGTAGCATTTAGCTTATTAGTCAACTCTGGAAACAGCTAGCCTGATGCTATCAACGATAATGCAAATAGTTAAAAATTACACACTTGTCTATAGTCTACTTTATGTGTGTATTTACATTCATAGTAAAATAAAACAACTGTTGAATAAGCAACTGGCTAACATATTTGACTCTTGCTGCTCATTTTAAATATGCTAGCTTCTTAAAGGTTTGTTAATACACACATTTTTCTAACAGCAGTTATTTGGTAGTTAATAAGGTACATTAAACATTTTGGGATTTACTGGAAGGTGTATTGTAGAATTGTTTCCAATAGTTCTGCTAAGGAACACTAAGCTAAGCTAGGCTAAGCTAAGTTAAGGTAAGCTACAATAAGCTAAACTACACTAAGCTAAGCTAGGCTAAGCTAAGGTACGCATGTCTGGGTTGTCTTTACTGAGAGCACAGAGAGGTATCTTCTGTTAAGACAGCAAATAATGAAAACAATCCTAAAATGTCTGACCATTCCTCCTGTAAAACCTGGGAAGGAACAGCGGCTAATGAAACCAAGACCATACTATGTTATTGATATATATGACATCTTATTTGCTATATCCTGCTTAAAAAACCACGTGAGTGTGAATCAATACACTCTTGATGGTGGTTACAGTAAAGTATTGGCAGGGAATTAGGTTTGTTTTTCCCTCTGAAGAAATGTTATCTTGCAGTAAAACCCATTTCATGTGGTGCGTCAAAATAAATATTCACGCTGCTGGCAAAACAAATATTAAAGTCACTATTTGAGGCAACTTCAGACCAACACTGTGAGGCGAAGGACGGCTAAGTATTCATGCAGGGACACAACAGCAGTAATTGTTTTTGATTATATGCACAAGGAGTTTGTCAAAAGGGGGAAGCAGCAAAGCCACGAGAGCGTCACAAATTGTTCCATTTTGAAAATAAGATATACAAAAAAATAGATAATATATTAATAATAGCTTTTAACCACAGACGAGGCAAAATCAAGTACTTTTTTGTTACATATACAATCAGGAGTATGGCAAAGTAGGAGTATTATACTGAGTCCTTGATGCTTCCTCCTTCTGTAAACACCTGGTACTGGGCTGGAAAATGTTCTTTAAAAACCAACGTTTCGACACCCACATGAGTAACTTTGATAATAATAGATTCATAAGGCTGATTTCCAGATGAAATGACTCGTATTAAAATAAGCCCCAGGTCACACAAGTCAGACGACAGCCTATTAAGAACCACTTTAGAACCACAACAGCAGTTTGTGAAACAATATTCACAGGTTAATACAAGTCCACACAAGTACATTCCTCAGTACATTTTTTTGCAACATTTAAGATATTCCCCAGTTCAGTAGACGATAAGGTTGAGATGTTTGTTCAGTCTGTTGCCGTTTTGAGTTCTCATGGCAGTAGCAACAAGAAATAAATACTCTTCGAAAGTCTCGAGATTAAAGAATCAAACGCTGTTCATATGTTCAGAAAGAAAACAATTAAAAGTTAGAGGAAAAGGAATTAGAAGATTGTAACAACTGATAGAAATAAAACAATATGGCTGCACTCGACATGCGAGGAGAGCACCACGTAAACACAATTCTTTGTCAACAAAAAAACAACGTATATGCGAGAATCTTGAATCGCTTTCATTGCACGCCTCCCCTCGTCCTTAGTTTGATTTCCTGCTGCTCACGTGACTTCCTAACAAAACCAAAAGCTGACCGCTGATTGGTGGAGCGATGCGACGCAAATCCAGGTTCCCTTCGAACTCGCAAACAAATAAGATAGAGAGGAAACAGAACTCCTCCCTGCAGAGTGGAGGAGACAGAATCAGGGAGGAAGAAGCGTTAAAAGTTGGGAAGATGGTTTTCCTTTCCTTCCTCGCACCTCTGTCAGGCCACTGGGTATCACAGTAAGAGGACAGGAGGACAGGAGGGTGCTCCTCACCCCTGGGTGTCACGTGTTAAGCACCTCTTGAAGGACTTCAGTTGCCCGAGGAGTCAGCTTCAACTGCCCCACCTTTGATTTCCCAATTTCCTGCGGGGGGAGAGAGAGAGGAAAACGAAATGTTAATGCTGAGCTGCTGCGAGTCAAGGCCGGACATTTTGAGGAACCTGTGCAAAATCCCTGGCATTTCCAAAACAGCGGCAACTGAAACCAAGATCATACTGAGATATATGACATCTTATTAGCTATATCCTGCTTGAAAAACCATGTGAGTGTAAATCAATACACTCTTGATGTTGGTGTTGGCAGGGAGTTATTTTACCCGCTAAGGAAGTGTTTATTCTGCATTGTCTCAAACTCCCTCCCTAAAGGCCCGAACACACCAATCTGACAACAAAGAACTGACACAGACGGACCCCCGACTGTTGTGTCGCCTCGCGTCTCTGCGTCTTGGCCATGTGTCGCACTGGAACACACCGCAAAGACTTCAGCCGACGGCCAAGTAGCACGTACGAACTGCGCATGCGTCAGTGGCAATAACTCTCCTTACCAGCAGGCGGCGGTAGTGTGTATTCGTCATTCAAAATAGGCAACAACCGGAAGACAGACTGCGTGATACACTGAGAGAAGAAGAACAGACTGCGTGATATAAACAAACAACAAATAGCGTGTGCGTTCCATGTTCACTCTACAGCGAGAAGCTCACGGGGCTTTCCCGAACCTGAGTCGAGAGCTGGAGTTCAAGTGACATCTCAGATTTGCCTTCTTGAGTTTGTTTGGGTCCCTCACTTCCGTTTTGCTTCTCAAGGGACAGATCCAGTGGATGTCGTCCAGTTTGTTCGCTAGCTGAACAGCCAATCAGAGTGATTTATTTTGCCGACTGCCCGTCGATTCAACATGTCGAATCGACGGGTTTTCGGCTGAAAAGACCCGACGGTGCGGGACACACCAATCTGAGTAGGGCGTGTCGACGCTCATCGTCGGCCTGACGCCCATCGACACCGATAATCGGCCTGGTGTGTCCGTGCCTTAAGAGTAACATTTTTTATTTTTTGACAAGTGAGAACTAAGAGATGGCTGCTTTTTACCATGGGTGAACACCAGGGTTTATGTGAAGACAGATTGTAAACTAGTAGTAGAAATCAAGACTGGGCATCGTTCAGATTTGGTAGATCTGTAACTTTGTAATCACAAAAAAAAGGCTGAGGAATGATTCCACCTGTGTGAAAGTAAAACGCCACAGAAAAGGCACATGATTCGATTGCTTAAGTATAACCGAAGACTGGTGAATTATATCTTTAGAGTCTGCTGTACATGCTCCATAACACATGTAGGAGTTTTTGACAGCTGTAACTCCAAGAGCCAATGCATTTGTGGGACTGAAGCATTCAATCAGAGCTCTGTTCTGGAGTCCTACCTGAGAGGGAGCTGTTGGACTTCTGCTTGTGGAGCTTCTCTCTGTCCTTCTTCACTTTGGGAATGATCTTCAGCTTCATGCTGCTGCTCTTACTGCTGCCCCTCACAGAGTCCTACGCACACAACAAACATCATTAGCTACAAGCAACACGAGACATTTGTTTGGCTTATTGTCAGAAAGGGCAGATGGGCTGCGAGTAGCTGGGGTGGCTAGACATGTTGTAATGCAATGGATTTCATCTCTCACACACACACACACACACACACACACACACACACACACACACACACACACACACACACACACACACACACACACACACACACACACACACACACACACACACACACACACACACACACACACACACACACACACACACACACACACACACACACACCTCCTCGGAGCACTGCATTAAGGGACAGATCCAGTGGATGTCGTCCAGTTTGTGGAGCTCGGTGCTGAGGCTGTTCAGAGTCGACCGCAGCTCCTGTTCCTCTGGAGACTTCGACTGAGGAAGAGACAACAAAATGCATCAAGATTTCATTTCTATAAAATATGTATTACACGCATATTCATCTAACAATGTTCCTGATGAATAATCCTGTGTATGAGGCTCACTGGCAGAGAATATAGGGGATTACTTTAGTCGTTGTTATTGTACGTGATTTCTAGTAATAATGTGATTTTCGTTTATGATGGATGAAAATTCACAATAGCTTGTCATTTATTGAAAAATAAACCCTCCATCTGTTGGACTGAAAATGCTAACATCTGCTCAAGACGATGTACATTTGACACCCGGCGTATATTATGCTAATTCACAGATTTGTCAACAATAAACATATGTTAGCCTATCATTCTGTCAGCAGTTGAGGCGTAGCCAAATGTTGTTCTAATTGGTTTGTGATTTGCCTATTATGCTAATAATCTGGTTTATTTATCCGTCTCTCGTCTTCAGTTATCTGGCAGTGCTTTATCTCTCATCGCAAGAAGGGAAGACAATTATAGAATGATTACCTGAAGTTAAAGAGGCCCTATTGTTCACTTCAGTAACTTGGTGACATCACTATGTAACACTATTGCTTCTACTGGACATTAAAGCAAGGAGACATGTCACAGTCGAGGCACTAAATGCTGATATACACCTGAACATCAGCAGGAGAGGACTCTTTAAAGTAGAGACACTACATACTGATATACACCTGAACATCAGCAGGAGAGGACTCTTTAAAGTAGAGACACTACATACTGATATACACCTGAACATCAGCAGGAGAGGACTCTTTAAAGTAGAGATACTACATACTGATATACACCTGAACATCAGCAGGAGAGGACTCTTTAAAGTAGAGACACTACATACTGATATACACCTGAACATCAGCAGGAGAGGACTCTTTAAAGTAGAGACACTACATACTGATATACACCTGAACATCAGCAGGAGAGGACTCTTTAAAGTAGAGACACTACATACTGATATACACCTGAACATCAGCAGGAGAGGACTCTTTAAAGTAGAGATACTACATACTGATATACACCTGAGCATCAGCAGGAGAGGACTCTTAAAGTAGAGACACTACATACTGATATACACCTGAACATCAGCAAGAGAGGACTCTTTAAAGTAGAGATACTACATACTGATATACACCTGAGCATCAGCAGGAGAGGACTCTTTAAAGTAGAGACACTACATACTGACATACACCTGAACATCAGCATGAGAGGACTCTTTAAAGTAGAGACACTACATACTGATATACACCTGAGCATCAGCAGGAGAGGACTCTTTAAAGTAGAGACACTACATACTGATATACACCTGAACATCAGCAGGAGAGGACTCTTTAAAGTAGAGACACTACATACTGATATACACCTGAACATCAGCAGGAGAGGACTCTTTAAAGTAGAGACACTACATACTGATATACACCTGAACATCAGCAGGAGAGGACTCTTTAAAGTAGAGACACTACATACTGATATACACCTGAACATCAGCAGGAGAGGACTCTTTAAAGTAGAGACACTACATACTGATATACACCTGAACATCAGCAGGAGAGGACTCTTTAAAGTAGAGACACTACATACTGATATACACCTGAACATCAGCAGGAGAGGACTCTTTAAAGTAGAGACACTACATACTGATATACACCTGAACATCAGCAGGAGAGGACTCTTTAAAGTAGAGACACTACATACTGATATACACCTGAACATCAGCAGGAGAGGACTCTTTAAAGTAGAGACACCTACATACTGATATACACCTGAACATCAGCAGGAGAGGACTCTTTAAAGTAGAGACACTACATACTGATATACACCTGAACATCAGCAGGAGAGGACTCTTTAAAGTAGAGACACTACATACTGATATACACCTGAACATCAGCAGGAGAGGACTCTTTAAAGTAGAGAGGACTCTTTAAAGTAGAGACACTACATACTGATATACACCTGAACATCAGCAGGAGAGGACTCTTTAAAGTAGAGACACTACATACTGATATACACCTGAAACTCAGCAGGAGAGGACTCTTTAAAGTAGAAGACACTACATACTGATATACACCTGAACATCAAGCAGGAGAGGACTCTTTAAAGTAGAGACACTACATACTGATATACACCTGAAACATCAGCAGGAGAGGACTCTTTAAAGTAGAGACACTAAGTACGGATATACACCTGCAACATCAGCAGGAGAGGACTCTTTAAGTAGAGGGACACTACATACTGATATACACTGACATTCAGCAGGAGAGGACATCTTTAAAGTAGAGACCCTACATACTGATATACAACCTGAACATCAGCAGGAGAGGACTCTTTAAAGTAGAGACACTACATACTGATATACACCTGAACATCAGCAGGAGAGGACCTCTTTAAGTACGTAGAGACACTACAGTACTGATATACACCTGAACATCAGCAGGAGAGGACTCTTTAAAGTAGAGACACTACATACTGATATACACCTGAACATCAGCAGGAGAGGACTCTTTAAAGTAGAGACACTACATACTGATATACACCTGAACATCAGCAGGGAGGACTCTTTAAAGTAGAGACACTACATACTGATATACAACCTGAACATCAGCAGGAGAGGACTCTTTAAAAGTAGAGACACTACATACTGATATACACCTGAACATCAGCAGGAGAGGACTCTTTAAAGTAGAGACACTACATACTGATATACAACCCTGAACATCAGCAGGAGAGGACTCTTAAAGTAGAGACACTACATACTGATATACACTGAACATCAGCAGGAGAGGACTCTTTAAAGTAGAGACACTACATACTGATATACACCTGAACATCAGCAGGAGAGGACTCCTTTAAAGTAGAGACACTACATACTGATATAACACCTGAACATCAGCAGGAAGAGGACTCTTTAAAGTAGAGACACTACATACTGATATACACCTGAACATCAGCAGGAGAGGACTCTTTAAAGTAGAGACGATACAATTACCAATACTGAATATACACCTGGACATCAGCAGGAGAGGACTCTTTAAAGTAGAGACACTACATACTGATATACACCTGAACATCAGCAGGAGAGGACTCTTTAAAGTAGAGACACTACATACTGATATACACCTGAACATCAGCAGGAGAGGACTCTTTAAAGTAGAGATACTACATACTGATATACACCTGAACATCAGCAGGAGAGGACTCTTTAAAGTAGAGACACTACATACTGATATACACCTGAACATCAGCAGGAGAGGACTCTTTAAAGTAGAGACACTACATACTGATATACACCTGAACATCAGCAGGAGAGGACTCTTTAAAGTAGAGACCTACATACTGATATACACACCTGAACATCAGCAGGAGAGGACTCTTTAAAGTAGAGCACCTGAACATCAGCAGGAGAGGACTCTTTAAAGTAGAGACACTACATACTGATATACACCTGAACATCAGCAGGAGAGGACTCTTTAAAGTAGAGACACTACATACTGATACAACCTGAACATCAGCAGGAGAGGACTCTTTAAAGTAGAGACACTACATACTGATATACACCTGAACATCAGCAGGAGAGGACTCTTTAAAGTAGAGACACTACATACTGATATACACCTGAACATCAGCAGGAGAGGACTCTTTAAAGTAGAGACACTACATACTGATATACACCTGAACATCAGCAGGAGAGGACTCTTTAAAGTAGAGACACTACATACTGATATACACCTGGACATCAGCAGGAGAGGACTCTTTAAAGTAGAGACACTACATACTGATATACACCTGAACATCAGCAGGAGAGGACTCTTTAAAGTAGAGGACACTACATACTGATATACACCTGAACATCAGCAGGAGAGGGACTCTTTAAAGTAGAGATACTACATACTGATATACACCTGAACATCAGCAGGAGAGGACTCTTTAAAGTAGAGACACTACATACTGATATACACCTGAACATCAGCAGGAGAGGACTCTTTAAAGTAGAGACACTACATACTGATATACACCTGAACATCAGCAGGAGAGGACTCTTTAAAGTAGAGACACTACATACTGATACACACCTGAACATCAGCAGGAGAGGACTCTTTAAAGTAGAGACACTGATATACACCTGAACATCAGCAGGAGAGGACTCTTTAATTATTCAATGTCTCAGAATGACATGAGATAAAATAAGCGAAAGTCTGAAAATGTTATAAATATTGGAAGCAGATGAAAAGCAAAGCAGAGAGCAGATGATTTGTTTTCATGTCAGGGTTTTTGCAATGGTGCATTATATTTGTTCTCCTGCACAAAGGGCTATTGTGAGTAGAGAAATAAATGTCCTTACGGGGTAAATTAGAGCAAACCAGACAATAAACAGACGGCAGAAACTGTAACGTGAGACGTGGAGGATTGAATGAGAGAACAACAGAGAGGAGAGGTACCAGTAGTTTTCCATCCAGCAGCATCCTGGGTCTCCTCCTGCAGGACTTTACTGCTGTTCACGATCTCCACCGCCGTGCTGCGACTCAGACACTGGAAATACAAATTAATTAATATATTATAATGCTAAAATATCAGAACACGCCATCTAAAATGTTTCCTTTTAGTATAGTGCAATTTTTTATATTTTACGCCACTTTCTGTTTTATTTTCCACAGGTTTCATTGATTTTACTTCAACAGGAAACTTTTATAAAAGTCAAATGTATTATTTAAAATAAAATGATAACCTGCAAGCTGTAATCAAAGACTATGTGAAAAGAATAAAGACGGATATATTTGTTTTATATATCATTATTTATCATTTCGAAATATTTTGTTAAAGGGATTTCTGAATAAACATCAGTGTGTAATCATAAGTGAATAAAAGACTGTTAAATGAATTATTATATCACTTCATACAAGAACAAATATATATAACTAATATAAAATAATAATAAATAAGAAAACATTTGAAATGATCCAATAAATGTTTAAAATTCCTCTTTTTTCTTTTACATATACAATTTAATATTAATTTGTATTTTATTCCAGTTAATTTCTTTCCAAAACATGGTTTTCATTTCCACTTTCCCTCATAAATGTTTTTCTATTTTATCTGT